TTTTAACTTTTAGGTATATTTATATGGTAAAAATACAATATATACAATTTTAAAATTTAAAATTAATTATTCGGTTCAATATCCCGATGACTCTGACAATTGAACAGGTGACCTGAGAGCGTACCGAGTAGATTGGTTTAGAAACTTGCCTTGGGGCATTAGATTTTATTTTATTTTATTTTATAAAAACTTATTTTTATAAAACAAAATAAGTCGATTACCTCCATACACGTACAGCCATCATGTTATGTTATTAATAATAGGGTCATCAGGTTGAACAAAACCTGATCTTTCCCTCAATTAAAAAGCAGAGATGACTGCAGAGTGCGAACATAACACACCACAATTAAAATGAAGAATTATATAGAAAAAAAAAAATTCAAAAAATGAGCACAAAACAACATAAAAACATACCAAAAAAATTTGGTAAAATTTAAATTTAGTATCATATGTACGATAAAATAAAATATATAACAGATAATCACCAAGAAACCAAAGGATTTGACAACAAAGTGATACTTCAGTTCTAAAATCTTTGTCATCAGTCATGAATATGCAATAAACAGAAACATTCTTCAACATCTAATGGCGCATAAGGCCAGACTCACAAATAATTAAGCACTTGCAATCTATCTAGATCAATCCAGCCAACTCTGACTTAAGCAATATTAAGTAAACTACGCCAACACAGCCATATATCCATGAGCAACTCATAGAACCATTCAAGACGAAAACAAGAATAACAACCATATATCCATGAGAAACTCATAGAGCCATTCAAGACGAAAACAAGAATAACGAAAAAAACTACCTTTTCTCTCAGAAACCGCTCCTCTTCTTCTTCTAATCTCGCCACCATCGACTCCAACTCCACTTGATACGCCTAATAAAATCACACCCACACTAAAACGAAAATCAATAAACTACCAAATCATTGACCCAACCAAAAAACACTTGTTGGGTGGTCATCTGGCTCGACTCGCCGGGCCCGGGCTGGCCCCAAATGGTAGCATTAGCTAAACTAGGAAAAAGATTCATAATCATGCTAAAACTAGGAAAAGATTCATAATCATGCTAGCTTCCATCTCAAAATTAAAAGATAGGCAATAAATAATGAGTATCAAAATTAATTAAATTGCACATTGTCCAAAATTAGAAACAGAATTGAAATTACTCTTCTTCTGAATATTCACTCATTGTAGCATGCTCTATTGTAGAATCAACAACTGAAGAATCAAACTCTATCCACTGGTCCTCTTCCGTCTGCCCTGAGCTCCGGCGCTCCGGCTCCGGCTTAAACCAGGCGGCAGAGTAAAAACTCTGAAAATCGACCGCGTCACTGTACCCTCCATCGACCGGCGTCCAACTCTTCCCGCGCTCCAGAGCATAGACTTCCGTGTCCCGATCCTCCGTGTCCCCACTCCCGTCCTCCAACCGGTACTTCCCGTCCTTCACACAATACGCGACGAGTCTTCCTTGGTACAACTTAGCCAAGCACGCCGTGTTCCCCTTCCCCTCGCGCGCCGGGCCAACGAACGACGAACCCTGACTAAGGTACAACACTCTGTCGTCCCCTACGCCTTCCCACACTGGATCCCACCTCCCGTCCTCGTCCTACAGCTTGTACACTCTCACCCTCTTCTCGTCGTCCCCGAACACGAAAACCCCGAGCAGTCCCCCATCGTCCGTCTCCACCAGATAGTGCTCCTTGGTTATGCTCTCGAGCCAGCCGCTCCTCTTTCTCAGGCACCGCCAGCTATCGACAGCTTCCCTCCCGCGTGGCCCACGTCGATTTGAGCCACGTTGCCCCGCTTGTCCACAAAATGGGCCTGGCCCGCGTGCATTACTGGGGCCGCGAGCGAAATTGGGAAATCAATCCCGCACGTGTAGTGCTCGCGGATCTCCCACTCGGACTCCCCATGGCGGATCACGCACGTGTGGACGTGCGGGAACCCGTACAAGCCGCCGATACCGAGGACGGTGCAGCCGGGCTCGGTCGGGGGCCCGAAGAAGCCGAAAGTGGTGAACCCGTTGTCGGTCATGGGGGGGAGGTGGATCGTGCGGCGGCTGCACGGGTCGAAGAAGAAGAAGGTGCCTTGGTCGGGTCGGGTCATGAGGATCCAGCCGTGGCGGGAGCAGCATATCTCGGCGCCGTGGAGGTCGGGGAAGGAAGTTTGGAAGGTGGAGCCGTTGCAGCCGTGTTTGTGGAATTTCCAGGTGCGCGTGCGGGGGTGGTAGCGCGTGAGGCAGGGCGGGTAGCGCGTGAGGCAGGGCCGACACGGAGTTGCGCCACGAGCGGCAAACGAGGCTAGCGGATTGTTGGTCCTTGCAGGGTATTTCGATTTAAACGTTGATTAACACCATAGATTGAAAGTTTATATTTAGTAAAATTTCTAATTGTAATAAAAAAAATAATTTTTGCTATATTTTAGAATATCTTTAAATTTATTATAAAAAAAAAAAGAAAAAAAACTACAATGAAAAAAACAAGTCGGCTATATATCTATTTGTTGTACTCCTCAAATCACATTCACAATTTGGCTACAAGGAAAGGAAACTCATTGATTAAAATATTATTTTGTCAGTAGTTTTAATGTACAAGAGACTTTAAGACTCCACTTGAATATTATAAAACTTTTATTCAACATTGTACAATTTTCTTGCGTATTATAAGCTTTTATTGAATATTGCATCTTATAATATAATATTCTCTAAATAAATATATCTCGTGATTCGGGTATATATATCCCGTACATTTTTCTTTATTCATGTATATAATTATAAACTTGGATAAATAGCCTTAAAATTGTGCAACCCGTGCATCGCACGAGCTCTGTACTAATATCGTATGATGTGACATAATTAAAGCACAACTTACCGCTGTAACATTCCTACCCAGGCAAGGGAAAGGAATTAATTAATTTTCCTAACAATAAGTTAGTCGGCCGCTTAATTAATTTTACTAACAATAGGTTAGTCGCCCGCAATACATATAATAAAGTAAACAAATGCTTTTTATGTGCGAATTGCGAAAAGGCCCGCACATCATCTAAAATTCTCTTTCGGTCTTTCCTTGTATATTTGCACCAGATTTGTATGAGTTTTCCTTTTTATTATGAACAGATTATATTTGTAGAATTTAATCGACTGACTTAAAATCTTGGACATGGTTATTTTGGCTAAGCTTGTGCATCATGATGGTCCATTAATCATATTTTGGATTGACTACTTGCATTAATGAAATCCATCATTCTATGCCAACTTTTTTACTTCACCGTAGAAAAGCCTAATGTTACGTAATATGTTCAAATCAATAGAGTAATTTAACATAAAATGATAGACTTGATACTTGATAGTCCTATATCTATGT